TCTTGGTGAGCACTCATCAAGACACCCAGCAAAGGAGCCTTCGCCTAGTTCGGGAATCACATCGACATTCACTGTACAGCGAAGAGGTCATGAATGACAGGGGAATTGTGTAGCCGCAGGCATCGTTCTGGGCAACTAGATGAGCTCTTGTTTTTTGCTTGTCGGCGCTTACCCCTTGTTTCTTCGGCGGCCATTGGCTTGCCACCAGGAATCACAATTCCACACTCCATTTGTGGCGCTGATGAGAGGGCGTCAGGGCTGTCCTACTTGAAACATGGCAGTATGAGGAGCAACTGATGTAGAGTGCACCAGGATGTGGGTGGGTGGGACTGGTAAAGTTCGAGCTCATCTACCAAAGAGCACATTCGTTGAGGGATGAGCGTGATGGAACGTAGCTATTGGGTGCACAGTGGCATAGATAATTGGCTGGATGGCATGTCGTGATATTTTGCGTTCTCCTGGTGCCACTTCTCGTAGGAAAGCCGCAATTGCAATTGATATCACATTCGCAGTGGTTGCCCCTCTTGTTGAACGAACCGGGTGTCAAGAGCGGCCTGCTTCCAAGGGAGATGTCTCTGGTTGGCTCAGGGTGCGAGGCAGCAAAATCCGCATTGATTGTGTCTGTCAGGCTGTGACAAAGATGTGACAGAGATGCACCCAGTTCGCCCTTGTATGCCCTGTTCACAAACACAGCTGTTGATCCTCCCAACAGGGTTCTTGTTCCTTGTCGGGGATCGACAGTTGTGCGTGCGAACAGAGCATGAGGGCGCATTTTCTAAATAGAAGGTGGTGGTCGTTTCTTATCGAGGTGTTGAACTGCACCGCTGGCCGGGCATATGGGGCAGGGTTGCAAGGCAATATATTGCGATGGATACGTTAATATGATGGGATTTTGATGAGCTCCTACGTTATGCTGCTGTCGTTACTGGCTGTGTTACGCTTTATCGGGCTCCCTATGTTGGTGATTGACGATGCTGAGGGCATGGGAGAGGCTCTTTGCACCGGGAGGGCTGACTTGCGAATGGCCCAGTGGCTCCTTTCCCTGTGCACAAATCTGGTCCACGCATTTGGGCGTTGCGATTCATCTACCAGTCGGTAGGAGTGCTGTTGCAGGGCGCCTGTGTCGGCCTTGCGGCCATTGCCGTTTGGCTGTCAAAGGTGGCTACCGTGTTCTTACCTCCTGCGTGGTTACAGTCCATCGGTGTGCCGTGCCATGCACTCGCCCTGTGTGCCGGCATGTCGCTCACTGTCGTGGAGGAATCTCTTTTCCATTGCAGTGCAGGTCGTGGCGTCCCACCTGACACCTGCACCGCTGAAGGATGTCACGAACTTACAGGCGATGCGGTCGCCGCCACTGCGGCTCCACATTGCTGCAAATTTTACCGGATCGGCGGCCGTGGAGATGTGGGATGGTGTCTAATATCTATAACTGGAAACGGCTCACCTAGCAAAACCTAATGCCCCCGTTGTGGCAGATCTAACACTGCCGAAGGTGTAGCTGAAACAAGGAGGGAAGTCCATCCCGCTTGAGGGCTGGCTCGTGCGAGACTGCCAATGTGGCTGAACAGGCACGATAACACTTTGCCATAAAACTCGCTTGCGTTCGCATTATGAAATTCTTGCGGGGCTGTCGCCATCAGCGCACCGTGCACGCCCCTTCGCTGCAGCTGGCACGAGCGGGCAGGTGCGCTTACCTCACATTCGCTTATGATTTGTTCCTCAGGACCCTGTCCGGCGGCGAAAGCGCTTAGAAAGTGAACATCGGTTGTCGAGTCCTGAAAATGCCAATCCATAGTTTGGCCAGGTTTGCCTACTTCAGGAAGGCAGGCGCGCACAGTCTGCCTTTGTACAAGAAAGGTCCTCGCCCGAACGAATCCCAGACACATCGGACGCGGCTGGACACGTCCAGCTGACGCGCATGTCCGCCTTCCTCCGCGAGCCAGCGCGACGGTTCGCTTATTCCCATGCACCTTATCCACAGGGAAATGGACGACATGATTGCTTGGGCATCAGGACTCCACCTCTTGCATGCAGGGCGCTATCAAGGACGAATTCTATCGTTTCCTGCGCACCACGTCGTCGGTGCAAGTTGACAGTGCGGTAATGGTCAGCATGCGACCTGCGCAGTCGCGGAAAGCGGCACCCCTAGAAAGGACAAGAGACGTTGTGATGGTATTGGCATGAATGGACAGCGAAGGCAGCGGCATAATGAATGGGTGCGCGTGCGATCATGCCATGGTGGCCCTCTCGTGCTCCGACGCTCGTGGGTCCGAGGTAAACGTACCTGCACAATTGGGCGCAGCGCTGGCCCACTTTCAGTGTGGCAAATGCAGTGCACTCTTCGACGTCTGTCAGCACTGCCTGGAGCTGACATTGTCCACATTCCATAAAGAAAACCACACAATGATATAATACATCACCGAACAAACTGGCACAGAAACAGGCCGCGTGTCGCACGGTTCATTTTTCAGTGCATCCAATTCGACGTCCATTACGAAATCTCAGAAGAATGTGTAGTGCTTCCGTATCGCCTTCTGGACGTCCCAAGTGCAGCTCATCCCCTTTGGAAACGTCACCAAATCTCCGGGCTTGATGTCCACACTCTCCCCTGTGTCCGTCGTCACGGTGACCTGCCCTTCAAGGATGTAGCACGTCTCATTTGAGTCGTACGTCCACGGAAAATTGGACGCTTCGCATTCCCATATGGGCCAGTTGTAAACTCCCATCTCCTGCATCAGGTGCAGGTTAATGCTCATGAGGATTCGCGACCAGTATGTCATGATTTGAGAAAGTGCACGCACGTATCAAAGTGCTGTCGTTTCACCCAGCATGCAATGGTGGGCTCTGTCAACAAATGCGAAGGGAGTGCCAGCACCAAATTTTCATCCCCACCGCTGCCCACCGAACGGCTTTAAGCACTGCTTGTGCACGAGCCAGTTTCAGAGGATCGATCTACGGGGATTCCTCAGTTGTGGCGCCAGCTTTTAAGGTCAGGCGCCGGCAGCAATGCGGAGCACACGACCTTGAGAACAACTCGGAACGTTAACTATTGCTTGAGGCAACACACCAAAGAAAGATGCCTCAAAAGCTTCTAACGAAAGAGACTCTTCAGCACGGCTGATGTGCGACTTTCATGGACTGTTCATGGACAGTTGTCAACTACAGTTGCTTGGTCGCCAGCATTGCATGCACGTTCTGGTCTCTTCACTCCGTGGCCGAGGCTAATCATCGGAATGTTCAATCAATTTTCGACAAAACCACTGTTTGCAGGCTTGCTCTGCAGATTTTGGTCGCCTACGGTTGATGTCTGATGTGGACAAGTAGTATTTGTACAAAGGCATTTTTTGGCCATGGTTGGCTAGCACAGCATTGTCGTTTTCTGGGCACATGTCCACACTGAAAACCACCAAAGGCATAACAGTGCTTTAAACTGTGTGTGCCCATTGAAAATACTCTGAAATGCTGTGACATGTGCAAAACAACACGAACTGTTTTGCTGTTCAGCAATGGTTAGCACTGGGATGCTTCCCCCAAGCCATGTGTGGCGAGGGTACACTCCTGGCATCGCTGCGCGACAGGTACGGAATCGAGTGATCCGTTAAGCAATAGTAGGACAGAGACCAGCAAAGAGGAAGCCGTTGGGTGCGTGTGTGTGTGCACAGGAAGGAAGGGGAGCAAAAACGCAAGTTGCATCTTTCAACCTAGGTCAAACATCGTGAAAACATGCGCATTCATACCTGGCTGCATAGATCAAACACACATCAACCATTTTCTGCGAAGCTATGTGTGTCAGTACATCACATCTCAGTAACACACAGATCGCCAAGTTTGTCACACACATCTGATGCTTCGTGCACAGAAATATGGTCGATGGGCATCGGCATAGTAACAATGTGATGGATTACATAAGTATCGCCAGCAGTTGACCCCTCTAATCACACACTGATCCTTGGTCCAAGACATTACTCTTCAATGTGAAGCATCCTGGAATAGAAATGCAAATGCACTGACTTCTGCTATCTACCCAGGCTTTGCGACCAATTTTTCTGGCATCGGCATCCTCCTTGCACTGTATTGTGAGGCACTAAAGTCATTTCTATAATTTTATGGATTTGACACATGTTGTCTTTATAATATTAAAGAAAAGGCTGGAATAGAAAGAATTGGCACAACAGATGGACGAACTGGTGTCCACTATTGTAACATTTACGTTAATGGTGTGCTGAAAATCAGTGGTCAGATTGATCTTTTGCTGGTGTGGCGGAGATAAGAAACCGAGGTAAACTCCTCGGACTAAATTTCTGCCTGGCATTCAGGTGCGTGGCAGTCAGATGTCAGTGGCAATCCACAGGCGCAACGAGTTGCAATGCCTTACGCATTCTGCCACTATTCCGAAGACAAGTCGCGGAAGCGGAGGGTAGAAGACATGCACTTGAACCAGGGCCATCGAGGAGAATGGTGACGGTAATGGTTGCCATCTATGCCGTGGCGAAACCCCGTCCACAGCGCGGTCCTTTGGATGGCTCGTTGAACATCCCGCTGAAAACTCATCTTCAAACGGTTGCCGTCCTGCTTGCCAACTAAACCCTCTGACCTGCAGCTTCTCCTCCGATGGCTGCTCCTCGAGGGCCACGTCCCCGCCCTTCGCTTGCTGCGCCATGCCGACCACACGTCGCCGGCTATCCGCCAGAGGCGCTCGGCTCCCGCCGATCCCGCTGGCGCGAATGGGGGGCGTTGCGTTCGCGGACGGCCTCGGCGGCCGGGCGTTCGACGAGGTCGGCCGGCGGCAAGGGGCCCAGGCCAGAGGGGAGGCGCACAGGCGCGTCGCCATTGCGCAACACACAACCTCCCCAACGGGGACTGGTGCCAGGATTCACAGGTCAGTAGTTAAGTTATGCGCAGCGCCCATTCTTTTAATCCGTGGTGGGGAGGGGAGGGGGGGTGGTCTGGTGGGCAAGCGGCGGGCGCTTATTTGCACCGGGTCCTTCGGGGACATTCAAGGCCAGAGCCCCGTGCGTTGTCGGCATAAAATTACTCCCCTGCATCAAATCACGGTACCGCTTGCAAAACGGTGACTGCCGCACGAAAGCGACTGCTTTTTAAATCCGCACGATGCACATCGTATCCCGGCTTGCCGTCAAAGGCTGTTTAACACAAGCCTTCCCTAAACCCTAAACCACGAGCTGAAGCCGCATACAAGCCCCTGACGTCACCAAAACTCTTTACCAGACTGAAACCCTAACTTACAAGGCTGAGGTTAGGACAAAGTGTGCACGTACTTGGTACGGCGATGATGCGGTGGTCACCGAGAGCAGTAATGCACCGTTGTGGTGCCAGAGCCTCCTGCCACCGCAGGAATGGCGTCCTAATGGCGAATTCTCCGGGCAATGAGCCGGTCATGCACGGAAATGGACGCCTGCCCGATCGAGCTGAACTCGACGGCGAGGTTGCGCCCACAATGGGCGACTGTCAGTGCGGCATGCACCCAACGAACGGGGCACGATCCCCATGTATGCACGGAGAAACGCAAGTGTGGGCCCAAAACAAGCGTGTTTTTTACAAGTGAAGCGGCACGTCTGTGAATAGTCCGGCCGCCGGGTGCGGCACCAACATGATCTCTGCCTGACTCATACCCCAAAGTGCCACGCCAAACCTCCCACAGCACCGTAGTACATTGTTCCCAGGTGCGCCACCCATGCCTTGATGTACGGAGAGTCCCAGCCTAAGTGCTATTCTTCGTTGCCCTGAGCTCTGAGCCCCTATCAACCCGGGTGCATTACCCGGGCCCTGAAGTATGAGCACCACCTGCTAACATACTTGTCTGCCAGCCCTGCCAATCGTACCGCCGGCACTTCCCAGCCCCTGGGATCTGTCATGCCGCTCAAGATGCTTCCACATCCATCAACCACACTGCGGTGCCGGCCCCCGGTTCCCCATGCTGGGGCACAGCACGTGGTGCGGAACCCACAGAAGTTAGGCACTTTAAAGTACTGGAAAACGCACGGGTGTGGCAACCATAGTACTCTAGCTACCTAAAGTACCTGGAAATTGGCTTCTGGCGCACCCACGCCGAGGCTCCCACCAGCACGCTCCGCCGCCAGTCATCGCAGCACGCCCGGGCTCATCACGGCCCCCGGCACTCATCGATCTTCATCATTGAGGCTCAGAATGGCATGTCCATCCGTCACATCATCAAGGAGGGTACGGCACGTCTTCCAATCTTCTGGCACGTTTTTAAAGCGGCAGGTCATCAACGGCAATCATAGGGCGCATCTCCAAAAACAACGCGGCCACAGCACGGCATCGCGTAAAGGCATCAGCGGGCTCATCATCTCTTTAACGGCTCGAAATTGGCACGGCTCGTCTTCAAGGCTACGGCATCTTGACTCCACGCATCAAGGCATCGGGTATGGCACATCTTCAACAATTGACATGGAGAAGGCCCTGCTCAGCTTCATTTGTGACTGTTCTGTGGGTTGGTGAGTCGCGCCTTGTCACTTGCGTTTTACAACAAGCGTCCAATCCCGAGCTCAACAGTAAAGGCTCCACCAAAAACGAGACAACCCACTGAGACTCCCAGCAGGGAAATGCACACAATGTGCTTCCAGTGAACAAGCACCTCAGGGGATTGAATCACGGGCTGCCCAATCGCAGCACCCTCCTGATGACGCTGATGATGTCTTTCTGATCCAGCTTGCCACAAAGCGCTGACACGATTCTTAAGGGATCGCATTTCAAAACCTGTGTTTTTTTCAAGGGGCCTAGTTTCACGAGGCATCCACCTCTTCAGCTCAGCGCTCACGCTGGCCAAGAACTCCCTCTCCAACTGGTAGGTCTTCAGCAGGGAAGGGGCCAGAAAATCAGAGAACAACAATATCAAATTGATGGCAGCGAGGGGATCGAAAATCTGCCAGGAATTTCAAAGAAACCACAGAATTGCTAGCTCCAACTTCATCTCTGCAGATGAATACCGTCCTGGCTCCCTCGCAGCCTCCTTCCTCAGCACCAACAGCTCATAAGAGTACTCCACAGTCTCCAAGGTGATGCAGCTGCCGATGAACCTCCCTGGCAACTTCTTCACAACTTTGTCTTGTTCACCACAGTTCTTGCACAGAGGTAGTCACATCAGCCTCAATTTCCTCCTCAGCCCTGCAATCAGAACAACATATTTTCATCATTCCTGGAAGCCACCTCTTGCTGATTTTTTCGAGTTCTTCGCTGGCACAAAAATCGCTTTCTTTGGCAGCCACAACTTCGACAAACTCTCTCCAGATCTCTCTGATCTTCTTGACATCTTTTTCAGCCAGCGGTTGGACAGTTCAGCTCCCAAAGAGATCCATTGGCCTCTCTTTCACAGGTGTTTTAGGTAGGGTCGCGGAGAGTTGCTTCACAGGTGGCGTCTCGCCACCGGCCGTTTCTTGAGGCCGGTCAGAACGTCTCGTCGTAGCCAGCCGTCCGATCCCTCGCTTCGCAGTTGACGTCCAGCGCCGGCCAACGTCACTACTCCCTTCGCTGCCCTCTGAAGCTCCTGAGGATTTTCTCAGCTTGTCTCCAGCACCTCAGGAGACTCTTCGAAGCTTGCACACCGTAGAGCACGGGCGTTTGACCAGGAAATTTCTTCCAGATCATTTTGCAATCAAACCGCAGGCAGCAAAGACGTCGCAGGGCAGCCGCCAGTGCTCCACGTCGTTTCGTAGCACGAAAACGATTTCAAACCGCATCGAACATACTCGAAGACGTTCCAGAAACCCAAGAAAAGTTTCTGGGGCCCGTTCGGAACCTCGTGGGTCAGTCGACGACGCCGAACACACAACTCGAACAGGGCGCAGCCAGTCGCAGCTGCTAGAGGGCAGGGGTGAACGTCTCTCACGTCGCGAACGTTAAGACGACCTCGACGCCCTCGGGAAGCAATACACAACGTTCCCACAGATGCGCGCAGCTTGGGCGGTCCTCATAGCATCATGTGGTTCCATCGCGAGGTGTTCCTTACAGTGCAAAAGTGGCCCGAAGCCTTTACACGACCAGCTGTCCGTCCCTCTTGCTGCAGAGACAAACAACCAACTACCGTGCCCTACAAATAGACCAGGACACTTCCTCGTACCTCCAAGGTATCAAGGAGTGTTCCTGGATCAGATCAGATCAATTCAGATCCCAGAATACAGCAGGAAGGCAGTCCAACTGTCTGACAGATTTCTAAATCACTTGATATCAGTTTCCAACCGGTTCAAAACCACTCACCTCCGGTCCGATGTAGGCTGACTCAAAACCCATCAAAACTTATCAGAAAAATGCCAGCATGCCATCCTAAAAATATTACTCACGGCACTCCAACGTTCCCCATAGTCCCCAGAATTTGTACCTCACCTCGCGCACCACCATGAACTGGTCCAATTTAGCTGAATTCCAATGTTATTGAATTTGCTTGATACGCCCCTTCACAATTCCCAGGCAGTACGAACAGAGGCGGTAAGAATCTATCAGAAGTATCTCACAATTCACCACCCACCCGTCCCTTAAATTAAATTCTATTAGTGCTGCGAATTGCATTACTCCCCATCATCACTCTTGACGGCTTTGCAGCTCCGCCTAGTCCTTATCACGGAACCGCTCAAACATCCCTTCTTTGACTAGGTACTAATTCAGAAAATCATACGCTCTCACCCAGCGGCGCTGGGCCAGCGCTCACAAGCCCATTCTAACATCATTGAATCTACATGATTTCCCATTAAACTCACGCTTTATAATGAAGTCATTACAACTGCAAAATTTAAAAATCTATCAACTAATTCACAACATTAGGACCCTTAGATACTAGATGCCTTGGACTTACTTTTCACCCCAGAACATAGGCACCCTTCCTACAACTAATATTGATGGCTCATGCCAAGAATCAGCATAACTTTAGATAGCCAAATTCCAGTTCTGTTCACCAAGTCTTCATAGCTATAAACTTGAAAGTTTTTCCAACTTACCTCTTTGATTCCAGCACCACTTTCAGCACCAAAATGTGGCTATTGAACATACCCACTTTCTTCCAGATGACTTCTGAATACATTCATCACAAATGGCGATAAGTCCAGGTCCTATAATCCTATATTGATTAAATAATTAACGTAACTGTAAATATCAGATTCTCACAGCTGAATCCTATGGCCCACTTTCCAAACTTCTGGTTGCTTGTTCTTCCCGGTCTTCAAAGGCCTTCTCAAGTACTATATCAAACTCCTCAAGCCTTCGTGATGGCTTGTTCCTCCAATCTGAAGGCAATACCATTGGACATCCTTTAACGGCCTAGGGTCCATCTCCTAAGGATCAATACATCCGTATACGATGAAATTATCCTCCTAAACTATTTTGCACTTATGTCGTGAACTAGGACATGTTCTAATGCCATTCTCTTCCTGAGGAACATTGGTAATCACAGCGCCTGATGCATTGCACCTTAAATCAGCGAAAAATAGCCGGCTTACTGCGTCCAAACATAATCAATCTCTTCCCAATTCTTACCAGAATTGCACCCTTTGCTACACCGTTATGCGACATTTCAGCTCCACTTTCACCTTCATTTTCATAGATTCTAATCTAGATTGTCTCGTAAACTGCTGCACAGATCTGCTACCATAAGTGCTGTACTTCTCAAAATTTGGCAGCATCTCTCCCCTTTTTCCTTACTTTTCAACTCGAGTATTTCTCGAGTATCGTGCATAATGTTCTAATCTATCTTCTATCCATGCTGGCTGCATTCTGGGAAAATTTCTGCAGCGTTTCCCCCAGGCTTTTGACCTTTCATCACTCCGGTACGTCTCATATGTCTATAGTGCTGCTTTAGGACTTTTCCGCATGGTCTTTGAGGCCATAAAGTGCCTCCTTAAAAGAATGAGCAGCATTTCTGTATGGCTTTTGAATGATTTTCAATATCTCCATGTCACTCTTTACCATTTGATGCCCGGAAACTAACTACTAGCCAATATTGTGTGGATATGTCAGCGTGCTTTTCGCTTTCCTGCGACGCTCGCGGCTGTCCATGTCAAGCTGACTGGTCTACGGTGTAGCGACACCCAGTCAGTCGCCTTCTGTCGGTCATGAGCCCGCCATTGGGTGACGTGGCCCAATGACTAATGGCGAATTTAACAAAATACGGGTTGATAAACTTTTCATGCAAATCCGTTTGTGGGATCTAATGATTCCAATCGTTCTGCACAAAAGCCCTGTCCTCATTGAACTGCGCTAGACCATCGCATTCTGGTGAGCGAATAGCGATTGTTTGAAAATCTCCGTTAATTTGCTGGTCACGGTGCAAGACATGTCGGCGTTGCCCATTTGTGGGTGTAGGAAGAGGATAGCTTGTTTGGGCGGCTACAATTTTGCCGCCGGCACTGTGAGGGCGAGGGAAATAGGTAAGTAATTATATGGAGTGTAGTGCTCAATGTGGTTTAGATGGAAACCGTGAATATTGTGTTGAGTAGGGTGACACGGATATGGAGTTATTGGCTGTGCGAACAGAGTGTGCTTGCAGTAAAGTTACGTGATTGGTACACTCGTCCTGTAATCGATCAGGATACGGTTTTGCTTCCCGTGTCTGGAAGCGACCGTTTATGAGGCGCCTGGTCTCGTCTCAGCCACCAATGGTTTTGCAACACAAGGCACTGGAAATTCTCTTGGTCTTAGATTTCGATGGACAGCCATCATTCACGTCGCCAAGAAACCGCCCAGGGTGGCCCATCCTGGCTGCCAGGAACGGGCTGGTCACTCCAAGAGACTCACTCTGCACAACAAGACACTGTCTGTTAACATATCGATGGGAACAGACGCCACGTAACGGCATAGTCACGGCATCCCTTCATCCCATTTCCGTTCCCATACACATTGTGGGTTCCAGGGCTGGAAATCACGTGCCAACTTTATGTGTCGATCCCAGGCCTGGCAACGCCCTGGGCCGCCAGCCAGCGCCACCTCTGCGTGGCGCTTGTGCCCATCCCCGTGCAACTTTGGGGCGGCAGCACACCTCGAGGCCCTCCCCCTTCCTCATCTAGGTCTGCCCAACAACAAAATAAACAATTTGACAACCAGCTCGTTTCCTCTCGCAAATATGTAAGGAAAAGCAGACGAGCTGCGTGGGATCCTCACACCACGCCCCCCCGCCCATCCCTCCCTTGGGCATCCAGGTGTTTTGTTTATTCTTCTTAGCTACAAACGAACAGGAACTGGGCGAAAATAACTTGGGTTCTCCTCCCCCCCCCATATGCCCACTTCAGGGTCTCAAGCGCCTCCTGCCAATGGTGCGGCTGAGCACCTCCTCCTCCCGTAGCTTCTGCTTGAAGGCGTCCAGTCGGCCACACATCTGTTGAATCATGTCCATTTTGTGGTTCAGGATGGCGTCCATCTGCTCCACGTACTGATCGATTGCGCTCCCCGGCTGGTCCACTTCGCTGAGGAGGGTCATCTCCTTTCGCACAACCTCCATGGACTCCTCGATGAGGGCCCTGTGCGAGCTGATCAGCTGCTCCTCGTCCTGTGCACATCAACAATCGTCTTGACAAGGCAAACACGAATAGCCAGCTGGTGACAAGGGAAGGAAGCGCCTTATTTGAGGGTGCGGGCACGCATGGTCAAACAATGTGATGGGTGAGAAGGGACCTAGACGTGGAAAACGAGCAGCTGTGACTCATGCAGCACTCTGTACATGTCTAGATTTGTTTCTTGGCACCATTTTGGGTTCCCTGTTCCCTGTGTCTGGGGTGCACCTGCAGCGCAGGGATGGAGACGAAGTGTATTGCGACAGTGCCATTTGTTGACAACATGGCATGCTGTTGCCCTAAAGCACAGCATGCTATCTTGTGCAGTCGGACTATTTTCAACAGGGGACAGCACTTCATGCAATGGGCGACCCTTCCTGAGCAGGGACTGGTGATGGATTCTCATCCATATGGAGTGCGTTGTGCACTACTGTGGATGGGATGTGCCAGAAACCAGTGCATCGAGCAACAACAGCTATTGCAAACTTTCCACTTCTCTTTGCGTTTGGGCTTGCACTTCACAACAGAGGTCAAAAGCAATCACAATACTCCAGAAGACAATGAGAAAGAATGTAGTATGCATAGAATAAAAGGACTGGCAGAGCTATGTAATTGTATTCGCCATGTCTGTACTGCACATTCACACTTGAAGCACATCGATTCAGAGACAGATTGCTTGGTGCAAGCAGCGTGCCACACTGTTTGGGGCACATGTCTGCAAAAGTGGGCAGATTTGTGAGGCCTAAACCTGGGGATGCCGAGCATTGCATGCCTTCCCTGCAGGCTGTTTTTACATACTTTCTCACAAGCCAATGTGGGTGCCATTGCATGGGGCACTCACCCTTGTTATCTTTTATCCCCGCGTTCGTTCACAGAGTGTGTCATGGACAAGGGGGGATTCTGCCAAGCTGTTGAAGTACAGGGATTCAGGATCCAGGGCACGTGGCACAGCACAAGTTGCTGCAAGTCTAGCATGTTTTTATTCGCAATATTACTTATTTTCATACTCTATTCAAGAGTCCAGGTGCTGTGCCATCTATGTGGAGAAGATGCCGGTCTTGCATCACCTCACAGTCGAGTGTACAGTGATGCAAAGCCCACAAGACTGGTCGTCCAAAAACACAAGCAAAGTCTGAATGAAGGGAAGTCTGGACTCCTGGAATGGGTGAGAATGGCAGATCAGCTATTGCAACAAAAAAACTCCATGACCCACCTCCAATATGGCATTCATCAGCTCGTCCCGCTGTGACAGCAGCTCCGCGTCATGCATGCGTTGGCTGTTCTCCCTTGCCTGCGGCCCTGCATCATTGCTTTCCCTCACAAACGGATTGTTTTCCCTGGGCTGCCCGCCATTCTCCCTCTCTTGCCCCTGGCCGCCTACAGTGTCCCTTGTGTGCACAGTGCTCTCCCTGTGGTACAGGCTGCCATACATGGAGCTCTCCCGCGACTCCCGATGTTGTTGGGGAGGTTGGGGAGGCGGCACAGGATCGCGGTATGTGCTGTTGTCCACATCGAAGCTGGCCATGCCTGCCACGCAGGGATGGCCTCAGTTCCACTTGCATCGGATTGCATGGTTTTTTGTGTGTCAACTGTTATCCAATACTTTGTTGCACATGCGGTTGGACTATATAGTTTCATGCACGATGCACAAAACACATTGATCCCTTGTCTCCCATGAATTGTCCTCTAGGGCTCAACACAATACTCAACACTCCATCACCCCATCCCTTCACAGAAATTGAATTTCCAGTCAAATCTCTCCACAGCTATGGCCATGAGTTTGGGATGTACAGTCTGAATTCAAGTCTGTACAGTTGTTGCAGTGGGTATGGCAGCACACTTGAGCAAGTTTCCTCACACCAGAAAGCCTGGAAATGCTGGATGTTTGTGACACCAAAAGGCTGTTTTCAACTGTGGCTATTTCAGTGCACATGAAGAGCACATGCTTTCGCAGTGACACAGCAGAGCCACCTATTGGTAGAATATCCATGCTAGCAGCTACAACTTTGCTTTAACACATGCAGGAACAGGATCGGTCCAGATCAGCAGGGATCTCTGGTGGACTGGTGATATGACGGCATTTTCTTTGGCCAAGTACAGGCAATTGGAGGCTGCTCACAGAGGGTCCGAGCTGATTTTGTTTCCCACATCTGACAAAAACAACAAGCCATCCACAACAATCAGCAATCTTTAAGCAACAGCAGTCAATCAAGTCCAACAGCCAACAATACACTGCACAAATGAAATGGCTTGAATGTCATTCACACCTAACCATGTGGCGCAAACAAATAGCCCAAACAACACTGATCTGCTCATGCTGCCGAGCATCACACCGGCCCGAGGAAACTGGGCAACATGTAAGATCCAGACATAAACAAGAACGCCGCACTAGTCCAAGGGGATTGGGAAACCGAACTGTGTCTCTTGAATAGATCATGGCATTCTCAAGCACTTCAAAATTCTCCACTTCCACTTTGGACAAGATCGCCCACCTGACGGCGTGCTATGCTGTTGATAACCATTTGCGGTGCTTGCGACTGAGTTTCCAGCACGGTACCCATCAGCCGCATCATTTCGGCTTGCTACAGCTGCGCTGGAGCCTCGATAGCCATTGTATGCCTCTGGGGCCCGCTCTGGGGTGTGCATGAAGGGCTCAGCGAGCGGCACTCGCTGCTTCTGCTGCTGTTGCTGCAGGATTTGCTGCTGCTGTTGCTGCAGCTGCTGCAGCTGCTGTGCACTGCCAGGAGTGACTTGGCTGCTTGTCCTGTCAGACTTGTCTTTTCGGAGCTCTGAGCAGCACAGCAAAACACTCAATGACAGGTGCCCATTGGCGTATTGCATAAGTTTCTATTGTTCTCATTTCATTTTTGACTCATCCTATTTTTTCTGTTTTGGCCTGTTTTCGTGTCTGTCTGGTACAGCTACAGCAATTTGAGTCCGCACTGATGCCTGGTGCCTTGTGTCCACTGGTGCCTGATGGTATCCCCAAAAGATCACCAGACATTCACCAGAAAATCACAAGAACGCATGCCTTGCAATGCAGCACATCATGCAGTGCGCTGCAACTTAAATGACCACTGTACAGGAAGCGCTGAGCACTACCTGCCCAAAAAAGCAGTGCATTCAAGAGTCTCCTACAGCAATTCGCAAAGTGCCAAGTTGTTGGCAGCCTGCCCAGATGGCTTGCTTGCCAGTGACCAACCCTTCCATTATCAGCAGAGCAATCAGCTTTTTGCAACAGGCAAAACCACCCATTAACCTGCCAAAAGGCCACTGTTTATGAGCCAAGAACGTCAGTCACAGTCAGAGCCCGGACTAGCCTGCCTGGGCTGCTGTTGGGGGTTTTAGGCATAGGTTTAGGCGAGTCAGGGCACTGACTGCAGCAGACGTTTGTGACGCGTACACACTACAAAGACAGCTCCCCACCTTTGACTCTGTCTGCGTAGCGCAGTGTGTTCAAGGTGTGCTCAACGGACATAGAGTTGGGGGACACATTGGCGATCATAACTGTCCGCGCCTCCTTCCCTATGAATGAGTCCCGCAGGACAGCTGTGAGCTTGGAGCCCCGGAAGGGCACGTGACGGGCGTCGCTGTCCAGCGCCCGAATGCACTCCTTCAGCGCAAGCAGGCTCTTGTTGATCTCGGCACCCTCCATGCGAGTTTGCCTGTAGGCACCCAAGAGCCAAGTCTCCTGTGAGTGGGACCACTCCAACACCTTTGCCATCACAGAAAATTCGGAACACAGTGGTGGCCCAGTGGCATTCGCCCAGGATTGAACTCAAACTTGCCATTGATACAGCAAACACATTCCATGCATTCCTTTAGTCAAAGACCCCAGCTTGTACTTGCAGGTGACGACGAGTGCAAAAAGATCCCAGCTATGTTCTCTAAACGCTTCAACATCAAGCTTCTGCACACCATCCAGTTCCGCCAGGTGGAAATGGCAACAAGAGCCATCACCAAAAAGTTTTCCACTCGCCATGGACAATCAAAACCGTTCTTTGCCGTTGTGGGGATTTTTCACAGTGGAATTAGTTTGGTTCTGGGGTACAGGGCACACTTCCTGTGGACAAGCCCACATGCCCCATGTGGCATCTGTGGCTGGTGCCAGCAAATAATTCCATGTGCCCTGTGGCCAAGCACGTGACACAGGCACGTGACATGGGGCCCAGGCCAATTGTTTTGCTAAGCATTGTGATGTCCTTGTAGACAAGTGGAACAACTAGTGATTTCTGATAATTTGAGATGTGCCATGATTCATGTGGGGGTTTAATGATACTGCAATGGACACATTCATTCATCCATTCATCCATTTACTGACAGTTTCAGGGGCCAATTTTCTGTCTTCTCCTGATTTGATGAAAGGAAATTGATCATTATTCTGTCAGGTGTGTGCCCCACCATTTCTCCTATTCTGAAATACTGCATAATGGTGAAGAGCCCCCAAGTGCCACCCCCCACCCACCTATTGTTGTCGAATGTATCTGCACCCCTCTCGCTGCCTGCCAAGTCGATGAATGACATCTTCCCAATGAGCTTGTCCTTGTTCTCATCGATGCATTGCTTAAGCGCAAACTGCATGATCGCATGTGATCGCGACGAGTCTGCATTAGCACCAGTGCTGCCTGCAACAATAGATTCCATCAAAACTTGTCCAAATCTAAACTGAATATCTAAAACAAGCTTCAGCAACCACACCCCTCCCAGGAGTGATGTTCCATCACCGTGGCAGCAATGGCGTACTCTGCGCTGTGCTACGATCGTGGGGACAATACAATACAACGATCTGCCGGTGGTGACAAGCCTTCCATCGGTGCGAGGCACAACGACTCTGTAGTCTTTCCCATTCGCAAACATTACAAATAGAGATTCTGCTTCCAAGTATGCACACTAATGCAAGCTATCATCATGCGCGAATGGAGTAAGAGAATAAGATGACATCATCGGCATTTCTTCCTGCACCCTGGCAGCGATTGGCACAGTGTTCTGTGAAAATCATACTATGAACATTTGCAACACAAATAAATTGCTAATCAATTTTCTGCTACATTGTGCAATTGAATG